TTGGTTTTTCCAACCATGGACAAGCCTCAAGTTCGACCTGTTCCTCGCAGGCCACAGTCTCTGGCATCACGTCGGCCTGCTGTGACCAACCCTGCCAAGCCTGCTGCAGTCACTGCATCCCTGCCAACTCCTGTATCTCTGACAGGGCATGTCAAATCAGCTCAGCCAATACCGTCCAACTCAGCTGGACCAGGTTTGACCAACCGCGACTGCCCTAGTGTCCCGCAGCCTCCTGCTTCTAGGCCTGGGCCCTACAAAACATCATCTTGTGCTTCTTTCCAGCGGGAGCCTGTTCACTCGGCTGTGAGCCAGCCCCGGACCCCGCTCAAGCCTCACAACCACTATCTACTCCAGGATTTCGCCCTCCAACCAATTCCATGGAGGAAATCTGAGGTTCTGGGGCCAGTAATGTCAACACCCATCACAAAGGAGCAGAGGCCAGATCGAGAGGCCATGAAGAGGAAGGCTCAACTAGAGCGTGAGAATGCTGCCAAATTGGGGACAAGGCAGCATTTCCTTGAGAGGGAAAAGGAAATGGACATTTCTCTGTACTATGGCTATGTGATGTAGGAGATGCTGGGAGTGCTGGTGCCATTTGGATACCTGCTGTTTTTCGATAGATAGATAGATCATAAATAGATAGATAGATCATAGGTAGGTAGGTAGATAGATAGATAGATAGATAGGAATGTCTCAATCTTGGTATATTCTGTAACTTAAAAAAACTGAATAAATATTGTAAATTAGCATTTAATAATAAAGAAGTATTTTGAGTTTTGAGATGCTGTTCACTGTGCTCTTTCTTTGGTGGGTATGAGGATCAAAAGCTGCATGATAAGGAAAGAATTGGAAGTTGGATCGGTGAATGAGGGTCAAGGGGTAAGCACTGTGGGAAGAAAGGAACTTGGGCCATGGCCAGAAAGGCCAAAAACGGGGAGAGGTTATGGATTTATAAAGAGAAGCAGGAGCTGGGTGTATGGCAGAAGTGAGAAGCAGGATCTGAGATTAGTGTTAAAAGAGGAAAATTTGAATAGACTTGAGAGGGCAGAAGCTGAGTCTAGGTTGACCAGGAGAAATGTAAAAAGTTTCTTGGGAAGTGGGCCTTATGTCTCATGACCACTAGATAAGTATTTCAGAAAACAGATTCAGGACACATTTCCTATGGGATTGGGTTGCCTTACGCATATATGAATGTAGTTGGGGAAAGTGAGAACAAATGAGGGGAATCTACCAGATGAGTGGCAAGGGCTTACAGTTATCCTGGGGCAGATGATAACAGGGGCCTACAGAAGTGATTGTGTGCAGTAGGAGGCCCCCCTAGGACAGGACGTGGGAAATAAATGATCATTGACTCCACACCTATCCCCAGGCCCATGAATACACTACTTCAGTTAACCTTCACAACATGCAAGGCCAGTATACCTGTGTCACTTTACCCGAGAGGTTCAGTAATGGGATGAGTTCACACTGCATGCAGTAGAGGAAAGCCTCTATTTGAGGCCTATCTCTGAAGGCTTCAGTGGCCATAGGTCGCCAACCTGGCTTTCAGAACACAGCATCCAGAGGTTACTGGTGCATGAGATCAAACATCAGGTGAAGCCTAAATATTAACTTGAAGGGCAAGCTAGGGCCCCTGCATGATCCCAGGCTGCACATGCCGCCTTGTCTAAACACCACCATCAACTGAGCAAAGCCCAAGAGAAAAATCCTGGGAAGCATCCACGCCCACTGGCAAGAGCAATAGGCACACTGGGTCGCAGGTGACGAGCCCCCTACCTGCAGTAGCTAAGGATTCCCATGGGGACACAGAAAAAGGAGAGACTGGTCTGGATTGCAGATATTTAGCTCATAGTGTTCGTCTCATATTACATAATAGTATCAGGAATTTGGCAATGCAATGCAGGATTCCAAGAGGGAAAGACTTGAAAAAATTTATAACTTTAGCCATATCTCTACACTGCAACACTTCTCACAATTTCTTCTCAGGTAAGAATGCACCATCTTTGAAAAAACTCATCTCATAAGAGGAAATGTTGGCCTATACATGAAACACGTGTCTTTGGAGATTGCAACTATAGGAGCGATCTTCTTGTGGCCTCTCGGCCTCTTGGATCACATACTTCATACACAATGGAAGTCAAAAGCCCAAGGTAGATTGATACAGGCGCCCCTAAAAGCTTACCATCAAGAGAAACTACTAGATACACAGACTTCCTCCCCCAAGCCAGCTTAAGCCATTGATAGCATGGGGTAAAGTAGGTTTACAGTTGTGAGTATGGGAAACACAGACTTTATGGTTGTATGGTTATTTATACATGATTGTACTATTTTCCACACACACAACTGTAAACCTACTTTTGCCCCACCCTGTAGAAGACTGGGTTAGCAACTCAGCACTGTCTTCTCACAGTAACAAGAGGCTTAGTGAGAAAGCACTAACCCGGGGAAGAACAACAGAGGCAACCCAGGCCACATTGGGCTGACTGTACACATCTGTTCCTTCAGCTTGTGTGCACAGCATAACTCACCACAACGTCCTTTTTCACAGACCCCTTTTTAAGTTTCTCCACAAAATCCATCAGATCAAGCTAGTTCATGATGCTTCAAGAGAAACTCGTCAAGGGCAAAATATGCAATATGTCTTACCATGGTGGAATCTTTGAAAATAAGACTAGGGTGCTGCTGGGAATGCAGACTGGTACAGCCACTCTGAAAAACTTTCAAGAGTTTCCGCAAAAAATAAAAAGATAGAACTTTCATTTGACCTAGTGATCCCAATCTAGGAATATATCCGAAGAAATCAGAAACACCAATCAGAAAGAATATATGCGCCCCTATGTTCAAAGCAGCACAAATTAAAGTAGCTAAGATTTGGAAAACAGCCCAAGTCCCCATGAGCAGATGAGTGGATAAAACAGCAGTGGTACATTTACACAATGAAATAGTATGCGGCTGTAAAAAAAGAAAGAACTCTTACCATTTGCAAAGTATGGATAGACCTGGAGAGTATTATGCTAAGCGAAATAAGCCAGAGAAAGACAAGTATTACATAATCTCACTCATATGTGGAATCTAATGAACAAAATAAACTGATGAGCAAAGTACACTTAAAGATATAGAAGCATGGAAGAGACTGACAAATTTCAGAGGGAAGGTGTGGGTGTGGCTGTGGGTGTGGGTGTGATGAACTTGTATGCATGTTTGCATAACCCATGGACCCAGAAAATGGAGTGGTGAAGGTAGAAGGGGGGATGGCAGGGGTGGGGTGGGTGGAGGGGTTCAATGGGTGGGGAAACAAAATAGAAAATAAAGGAGACATCTCTAATAAAATAATACATATGAATAAATAAATAAAAAGTACAACTAGGAAAAAAACAAATGAACAAAACCAGAGCATTGACACAAAGCTAAAGACAATCTCTGTTCTGCAAACACACTAATGATTTATATAATTGAGCTAATATGACAAGAAAGAAAATGAAAATGTATTTAAGATTATAATCTGTAGTGAGCAAAATTCCTGGCATCTGCTGCACTAGATAAGTTGTGTATACATGTAAATTGTCTGTTCTCTTAATACAAAATGAGACCAAAATGTGTCAACATATTATTCACAGAACCTAAAATATCCACATGAATGTCTTCTGTCCTGTACAATTACACTTTGCCTGTCCCCTAGTCTCCAATAATGTCCTTGTCTTTCTCTAACAAGTCTCCTCGTCACTTTTGCCTGGCTTTGCACCCAAGCATGGCAGACAGAGAATCCTAGAGGCCCAAAGTGCTACAGTGGCTGTTTGCAAAGGGGGAGGAGACTGCAGTAACTGCCACAGTGGATAGGCTTTATGAGAGAAGGAAAAGGGAAAATATCGGGAAGGCCTCTCACATATGATAGGGCAGGATGGCAGGATGCCTACATGGCCCAAGGAACCTGAGGGAGCAAATTATGGGCAGAAGAAGTGCAACCAAAGGCTGGAAGAGGAAAGGTTTGCAGTCAGCTGACTCCTAGCTCTTTGGTCATTGCTTGTAATGGACAGAGTCCATTGGGGCAGCATCAGACACCACAAAGAAGACCCTGCTGCTGGAAGTGGACAGGAAGTAACATCCATGAGTATCAGCATGCATCATCAAAGCTCATCTACAAACAATGCCTACAATGAAGATGAAGAGAAAATGAGAGTGGTAGGAGATGCAAGTACAAAATGGCCTGGCCCAGCCCAACCCAGACAAGGTAGGATTCAAGGAGAAGAAACTACAAGGGAAGAGCCTTGGACTACATCATTCAGCACAAATTGCCTTCAAGAAACTTCATTTTACTGTTCAACCAACTGACAAAAAGGTCTGCTTAATCCCTCTGTTTGCACCTCAAAAGCCACAGTGAATTTACTAATGAGATGGACTGGTATGATTTCAGAACAACTGTAATTGTGCAACCTGGATGTCCCTTTCCATTCTCTCTAAGGATATTAACAATATATACAATGATAAATATGTTATACAATATAACATGGGGAATATAAGTTAACGACTAGCTAATTATATTCATGAATATCTATAACAAACTCTGAGATTATTTTCCTAACATCATAATCTAGGAAAGTGAGTCTAGAACAACTAACTGTCTTGTCCACTGGCACATCTGTCCTGAGAGCTCAGCCATTTAGGTGTTGGTTTAGCTCCCCTACCGCTCCCTCTATCCAATCCTGTCTTCTTGGGAATCTGACCTTCTGATTGGCTCTCTCATCCCTTTAAACTGCCTACTTATGACATCATTCTCCCACCAAACCTACCACCACCTGGTAGAATCTTGGGGTGCCCATGGAGTTGTCTGTAAATAAATTTGGATCATCGCAACTGACCAGTGACCAGTAACTGGTGACCAGTGACCAGTGGCCAGTATGACCAGTGACTTTCGTACTGGACACATGTGCTCTTTGGCTTCAGCCACTGAGATATCTTCATTCCTTGCATCTACAGTTGTTATCTGCTCTTCTTCTCTGACCATGTCAGGTAAGGAAAGAACCTTTTTGAAGTTTTTCATTGGATTGTTATTTGTACCTAAATTGAGTTAGAGTGTCAAAAGAGCATAGAATAATTTGGGGGAAATATGATATAGAAGTCTGCAGACCTAATTTCAGATTTTGACACTTAATAGCTTTGTGACTTTGGACAAGTCATTGGATCTCTCACAAAAAAATGTTTTTTCCTCATCTGCTACATTCAGATGTTAGATTGGTTGTGGACTCTAATCCCTTCCTTTTCTAATATGGAGTTTTAAAGAACACTCCTGTTGACAATGAAATCAAGACTTCTTGACAGTGTTTCAACAGTAATAGAAAGAAAAGCTAAGTCATGTAGAAAACTAGCCATATGTAAAGCATATATATATGATGTCTTGTGTGTAACGATCTCCAACCTCCAAGGTTTCAACTTTAGTATTTTAAATTGAGTGCTGTTCCAAAAGTAATATTTATGTGGTTTTGGAGTTTTCTATCCAAAGTAGGATAACAGAGGAAATAGGGAGAGAGGATGGAGAGTACTGGGCTATAGGAAGGCAAGTATCTCAATGTAAAAAATTAGAACTGTTTTCATCAGCACAGGCCAAGAGGAACCAAGAGGGAGGGAAATACACAAGCAGGAAGGAGGGGAAAGTATAAAAATGAACAAGGAGAACATGAAAGAGCTCATGAGAACAAAAAGAGTAGTTTGGACTGGATTATTGGAGGGAACCAAAGATTTTAAATGAAAGCAGGAAGAGCATAGGGTGAAATCAGCTTGGACTAGGGCAAAATAATGTGGATCTCAGCAAATGCTTACATGGATAGAATAGGAAAGTAAGGCTGGTGTAGGGTACCACTAGCCAAAGGAGTGTATCAAAACAATCCTATTCAGTTGCCTGTGTTTTTTTTTTATTGGCCCTCTGAACACAGATGGCATATGACAGTTTGCAATATAAACATTTAAAAATGTATTTCAGAAATGATGTTTCTTATATACAAGAAACTAAGAAAGGTGATTATCTAGGGCATTGGAAATAACAGAATTTTCAGTGTTTCAATTCATTCTGATTTTTAAACTATGACAATGTTTTGTCTAGTAAAAAAAAAATTAAGACTTTAAAAGAAAGATATGTCCTAAATGGAATCAGAAAGAATACACCCTTTGTGTGATTAGTGTGTTCAAAATCAAAGATGCTCTTCATCTTTAAAGTTATATTCTTCCCAACACAGAGAGCACACTGATACACAGCCATTGCTTCATTTCAGGTCATAGCTACTTAAGAAAAAAAAGAGAGCATCAAAACCCACATTTCTAATTTCACATTTTTCAAAAAAAATTTTTTTAGATTCTCTTGGGGATTCCATCATTAATGTTTTTTTAAATTGAAACCTATTGTTGATGGTTTTAAGACTTTGGGTACGACCCCTTCCTGGATGTTGAAGATGATGATAATCGAGGTTTTAAGATAAATATAAAAACCTTCATGATACATTTCAACTGTTCTTTTCTCTTTGTTATAAGGTTATATTAATTGAAATATATACATCTAATACACTAAGTATTTATTACTTACTGGGAAATAGTCAGAGAAACATGAATGAATACAATAATGGAATTCCTTTACATTTACTTTGTTCTCCGCTTTAAACTAGTATTTACTGAAATATTGGTCTGCATATATAGGAGGCACATATACATCAACAGTGATTGCAGTGTGCTGCTTGTTATGCAATTTTCACTGATATATCTCCTCTGTCCATACATACTCGCTAAGAACTTACGCAAAATAACCTATTGTGGGTTGTTTCTGGTTAACAGTATCCACTAAAATAGAATGGGCAATATTTACTTTTATGATACGGCATGTATGAAACAAAACTTCATTTTGTAGTAAATTTATTAGGGTCTGATGTTTGCTACGTGCCTCACTTCTTGAGAAACTCACTCTCAGATAGTCATTTTGTGGTAGGATCAGAAATCAGGCATAAAGACAGTAAGAAAGACCCTTTAAGTTTACCAACTGCTTTGAGCTTCTATGAGAACTATAGGAAGAGCATGTGTAGGGCACAGGCAAAATGAGACGCTGAAGATTGTCATGACAACAGATGTACTGTCTTCTCCTGGACAAACAAACATCTGCATCAGAAGCTCTTGCTCTTACATGTTGGCAGTGTAATGCGCAGAGCTCTGGCAAGGAAGTCGGGATGCTTAGGTTATGGAAGCAGGTACTAAAACTAACATCGGGAGAGAACTGAGCCATAGTTTCTTCACTCATGAAATGAGAATTTAGAACAGGGATTCTTGAAGGACTCCTGGCTCTAAAATGCTTTAATTCTAGGAAAGAGCATACAAATCAATACTTCTGCAGGTTCAAGGGCGAGATAGGTCAGGGAGTGGTTGCTTCTAGCCTAGAGAACAATGTATGAAGCACACCACTTGGGTCTTGTGTACATTTTTACTCAAGATTTTATATTCTATATAAAAGCCTAAGCGACTGAATGACCAAATGACTGAATGACCAGTTGAACCGGAGCTATGACACACACTGACACCAGGGACAAACGCTCAACGCAGGAGCTACCACCCTGATGGTCAGTGTGCTCCCACAGTGGGAGCATCGCTCAGCTGACCGATGGTCACCAGACACCTGGGCTCATGACTGGAGATAGCAGCTGCAGCGGAAGGAGCCTCTCCCACCTCTGCGGCAGTGCTACCACTACCAAGCTGGAGCTGCTCAGCGCCTGGCCCTGGCTCAGGCTCCTCCCCCCGTCCACCTGCTGCTTCCCGCAATACTACATCCCTCAGGCCAAAACCAGCAGTCCCATATCCCCCCAGGAGTCCCGGATTGGGAGAGGGCACAGGCAGGCTGAGGGACCACACCAGTACATGATATATATTTTTTATTGATTTCAGAGAGGAAGGGGGAGGGAGAGAGAGAGATGGACACATTAACGATGAGAGACAATCATTGATTGGCTGCCTTCTGCAGGCCCCTTACTGGGGAATTGAGACCCCAACGTAGGTTTGTGCCCTTGACTGGAATTGAACCCACACTCGCAAGCCAATGCTCTATCCACTGAACCTAAACAGCTAGGGCTGAAAGCAACAATCTTAAAATAATGATGATTTTCACACACGTTGCTTATCAATCGCTTTGACTTTTTTCATCACCCTCTTGTTCCCTACAGAGAATTCCAAAAATCCACCTTTCCTTGGAATTTCAACCTCCCTGCAACACTCTCTTCCTGTGGAGAGCAATGCAGCAAGTGTCTGCAACTTCTACAGTGTCTCTGCTCCAGCCACCAGTTCACCATGGCTCCTGCCATCAGCCTCTGGCACCTCTTTCCAACCTCTCATGGGTGGTGCCTACTTTTACCAACATTCTAGCACAACCATGTTGTCTGGAGTTCCTGGCCAGAGCCCAATCTCCATTCCAGCTGCTTCCAATCCTAAAGTTTTTGAGTGGGCTCTTACAGGAGACACTGAAAAGAAGTCATCACCACTCAGAAAATTCACTGTGACTGTCATTGACCAGGACACAACTGTCTCCTCTATGTCTCTGGTGTCCCAGTGTGATGAAACCTCAGATGCCTATAATATGGCCCCTCAGTATCCATCACTTTCTGTCAACCTTGTTCAGGGGGCACCAATTCAGGGACAGGGCCTGTCACATCCCTACCAGGTGGGAAATCATGTGTGTGACTACAATCAAGGCACAATGGACCCTCTGCTCTGTGGAGAGGGTGGTCCCTACCTGCAGTCCTATGGCTCTGTGTCTTACACAGAGAGCAGGGCCTCTGCCCCTGACCCAGGGATGGTCATGGTGCTAAAGGAGACTCAGTCCACAAACATGATACCACCAGCCTCCACTTCTGGAATCTGCTACTCTGTGCCTCCTCAACCCATCACAAAGACAGGTTTTCAAGGTGAGTACAAACAGAAACAAGGAAGGGGAATAAGGTCAGCATTCAAAACTGGGGTCAGTCTGCAGCTGGGAAGTGGTGAGTCCTCAGACAGGTAGAATGTAAGTCCTGTGACTTTAACCACTACCACCCTCAGTCAATGCCCTCCATTGTCAGACTCCTTATGAGGACACCTGACAGAGGTGGGAAGGTGGGAAACTAACAGCCATGGATGCTACATGTAGGAGAACTCCAAGAGCATACCAAGGGACACCACACTTTCCACTGTCCTACCTGATGAGTCCTCCTCTACTACAATACTGCAATAAACTCCCTTGATTTACTGTTTTAGTCTCCTTCTAAGGCCTTTCAGGACATTATTGTGATAGTGCCCATTTAACTTTCCATCACTTCCTCAGTTGACACCTGGATTTAGGATCATGTGTTCCAACATCTTGTCCAAAGCAAACAGGTTATTATCTCCCCTTGCTTATAGGCTTCACCAGGAAGAGCTCCATTCCCTGTCTTAGTCCTTGGTGTGAAGTGTTTTTATTCACTCAGGAAAGTAGAGAGAATTACAAGGGTTCCAGATGAGAATGGGAAACATTTTTTAAAACTCACTTTTTTTTATGTGACCTATAACAACCTTGTGAAATGCAAAGAAAATCCAGGGACTGACCAACTTCCCCTTGATTCCATTGTAGTGATGGAGACTTCCCTGGGGATGGAGACTTCCTTGGCATTGCAACTTCCAGGCCAAATACTTTATTTACCACCTACTCCAGAATTCCCCGAGGCCTGCAGTAACAGACATTCACAGGTACTTGAGAGTTATCCACCACCTCAGAGTGGGGACATTTCAATGGCACCCATAGTCCAGAATCCCATTGACCTCCTGGCACTGCCTCCAGCTCCAAGCCAGGAACAGAAAGAGAATAAGAATGTGGAGAATATTAAAACCAAGCTTTCCAAGCACGGGAATGGGTACCAGATCCCAACAGAAAACGAAGCTTCTCCACTGCTCCCTTTAGAAGTGCCTGACATTCCACAGGTGCTGGCCTGCATTGGTCCCCTCGGCCAAGAGGAGCAGCCTGGTTGTGACAACTCTGGTTTGGGAAAGAATAGCCTGAGTCTTAAGGACCAAGGGACACTTGAAAATGGGACTGAATCTAATGACAGTTTTGCAGACATCGACACACTGGTGAAGGGTATTCACCTTCCACGGGTCTTAAGTTCCTTGGATGACCTTGATCAGGCCCAAGGACCCAAGGTGATCAAAACCAAAGACACCAGGGGCCTCAAGTTGCACGAAGTGCAGAAAAAGTCAAGTGTCAGAAAGACTCGCTCTGATCAAGGCAGCAAGATCAAACATAAAGCCTCTGAGCCTATCAGTGATGCTCCCAAGACCAAGATCAAGCCCGAGAGCCCAGATTGTGGGTTTGTGGAAGAAGTGGTTCCTTGCAATGCTGCAGCTGGTGGCAGGGCTCCTTCGAACATGGCCAAGCATTCTAACAGCAAACCTCAGAAAGCTGCAGCCAGCAGGACCAGCAATACTAAGAGCCATGGGCAGGAAAACACCAAAAGAAACCAAGAAAATTACTCCAAGAGAGCTGAGGAGAGGAAGCAGTCAGGGAACAGAGTCAAGGCAGAGGAGAAGCCAGCCATTCCCAAGATGAAGAGGAAGAAAAGTCATCCTGAGCTGCCACAAGAGGCCATCAAAAAGCCTCGCAGCGGCCTCGCTGTGCACCTGCTGGAGTCTGTGCAGGTTTTCCATGCGCTGGGCAAGAAGAGGGATGAGAAAGCTGACCTGTTTTCCTCGCGGGCCCTGGAAAACTCAAGCAACCCTAAAGGCCCCCAGCCACGCCCAGCTACCAAACCATGGCTGGTTATGCCCCGTGAGGGCAAAGGTCCTGTGAAAACTCAAGTCAAACCACCAAAACCACACGGAAGTGCTGACAAAGGGTCTCCACCTCCATCCCAGGACAAGCTGCCTTCTCCCGGGAAGGTCAAGTTGGTGCCATTGGTTTTTCCAACCATGGACAAGCCTCAAGTTCGACCTGTTCCTCGCAGGCCACAGTCTCTGGCATCAGGTCGGCCTGCTGTGACCAACCCTGCCAAGCCTGCTGCAGTCGCTGCATCCCTGCCAACTCCTGTATCTCTGACAGGGCATGTCAAATCAGCTCAGCCAATACCGTCCAACTCAGCTGGACCAGGTTTGACCAACCGCGACTGCCCTAGTGTCCCGCAGCCTCCTGCTTCTAGGCCTGGGCCCTACAAAACATCATCTTGTGCTTCTTTCCAGCGGGAGCCTGTTCACTCGGCTGTGAGCCAGCCCCAGACCCCGCTCAAGCCTCACAACCACTATCAACTCCAGGATTTCGCCCTCCAACCAATTCCATGGAGGAAACCTGAGGTTCTGGGGCCAGTAATGTCAACACCCATCACAAAGGAGCAGAGGCCAGATCGAGAGGCCATGAAGAGGAAGGCTCAACTAGAGCGTGAGAATGCTGCCAAATTGGGGACAAGGCAGCATTTCCTTGAGAGGGAAAAGGAAATGGACATTTCTCTGTACTATGGCTATGTGATGTAGGAGATGCTGGGAGTGCTGGTGCCATTTGGATACCTGCTGTTTTTCGATAGATAGATCATAAATAGATAGATAGATCATAGGTAGGTAGGTAGATAGATAGATAGATAGATAGGAATGTCTCAATCTTGGTATATTCTGTAACTTAAAAAAACTGAATAAATATTGTAAATTAGCATTTAATAATAAAGAAGTATTTTGAGTTTTGAGATGCTGTTCACTGTGCTCTTTCTTTGGTGGGTATGAGGATCAAAAGCTGCATGATAAGGAAAGAATTGGAAGTTGGATCGGTGAATGAGGGTCAAGGGGTAAGCACTGTGGGAAGAAAGGAACTTGGGCCATGGCCAGAAAGGCCAAAAACGGGGAGAGGTTATGGATTTATAAAGAGAAGCAGGAGCTGGGTGTATGGCAGAAGTGAGAAGCAGGATCTGAGATTAGTGTTAAAAGAGGAAAATTTGAATAGACTTGAGAGGGCAGAAGCTGAGTCTAGGTTGACCAGGAGAAATGTAAAAAGTTTCTTGGGAAGTGGGCCTTATGTCTCATGACCACTAGATAAGTATTTCAGAAAACAGATTCAGGACACATTTCCTATGGGATTGGGTTGCCTTACGCATATATGAATGTAGTTGGGGAAAGTGAGAACAAATGAGGGGAATCTACCAGATGAGTGGCAAGGGCTTACAGTTATCCTGGGGCAGATGATAACAGGGGCCTACAGAAGTGATTGTGTGCAGTAGGAGGCACCCCTAGGACAGGACGTGGGAAATAAATGATCATTGACTCCACACCTATCCCCAGGCCCATGAATACACTACTTCAGTTAACCTTCAAAACATGCAAGGCCAGTATACCTGTGTCACTTTACCCGAGAGGTTCAGTAATGGGATGAGTTCACACTGCATGCAGTAGAGGAAAGCCTCTATTTGAGGCCTATCTCTGAAGGCTTCAGTGGCCATAGGTCGCCAACCTGGCTTTCAGAACACAGCATCCAGAGGTTACTGGTGCATGAGATCAAACATCAGGTGAAGCCTAAACATTAACTTGAAGGGCAAGCTAGGGCCCCTGCATGATCCCAGGCTGCACATGCCGCCTTGTCTAAACATCACCATCAACTGAGCAAAGCCCAAGAGAAAAATCCTGGGAAGCATCCACGCCCACTGGCAAGAGCAATAGGCACACTGGGTCGCAGGTGACGAGCCCCCTACCTGCAGTAGCTAAGGATTCCCATGGGGACACAGAAAAAGGAGAGACTGGTCTGGATTGCAGATATTTAGCTCATAGTGTTCGTCTCATATTACATAATAGTATCAGGAATTTGGCAATGCAATGCAGGATTCCAAGAGGGAAAGACTTGAAAAAATTTATAATTTTAAGCCATATCTCTACACTGAAACACTTCTCACAATTTCTTCTCAGGTAAGAATGCACCATCTTTGAAAAAACTCATCTCATAAGAGGAAATGTTGGCCTATACATGAAACACGTGTCTTTGGAGATTCCAACTATAGGAGCGATCTTCTTGTGGCCTCTCGGCCTCTTGGATCACATACTTCATACACAATGGAAGTCAAAGCCCAAGGTAGATTGATACAGGCACCCCTAAAAGCTTACCATCAAGAGAAACTACTAGATCCATAGACTTCCTCCCCCAAGCCAGCTTAAGCCATTGATAGCATGGGGTAAAGTAGGTTTACAGTTGTGAGTATGGGGAACACAGACTTTATGGTTGTATGGTTATTTATACATGATTGTACTATTTTCCACACACACAACTGTAAACCTACTTTTGCCCCACCCTGTGGAAGACTGGGTTAGCAACTCAGCACTGTCTTCTCACAGTAACAAGAGGCTTAGTGAGAAAGCACTAACCCGGGGAAGAACAACAGAGGCAACCCAGGCCACATTGGGCTGACTGTACACATCTGTTCCTTAAGCTTGTGTGCACAGCATAACTCACCACAACGTCCTTTTTCACAGACCCCTTTTTAAGTTTCTCCACAAAATCCATCAGATCAAGCTAGTTCATGATGCTTCAAGAGAAACTCGTCAAGGGCAAAATATGCAATATGTCTTACCATGGTGGAATCTTTGAAAATAAGACTAGGGTGCTGCTGGGAATGCAGACTGGTACAGCCATTCTGAAAAACTCTCAAGAGTTTCCGCAAAAAATAAAAAGAACTTTCATTAGACCAAGTGATCCCAATCTAGGAATATATCCGAAGAAATCAGAAACACCAATCAGAAAGAATATATGCGCCCCTATGTTCAAAGCAGCACAAATTAAAGTAGCTAAGATTTGGAAAACAGCCTAAGTCCCCACGAGCAGATGAGTGGATAAAACAGCAGTGGTACATTTACACAATGCAATGCTATGCAGCTGTAAAAAAAGAAAGAACTCCTACCATTAGCAAAGTATGGATAGACCTGGAGAGTATTATGCTAAGCGAAATAAGCCAGAGAAAGAAAAGTATTACATAATCTCACTCATATGTGGAATCTAAGGAACAAAATAAACTGATGAGCAAAGTACACTTAAAGACACTTAAAGATATAGAAGCATGGAACAGATTGACAAATTTCAGAGGGAAGGTGGGGGTGTGGGTGTGATGAACTGGGGACTTGTATGCATGCTTGCATAGCCCATGGACCCAGAAAATGGAGTGGTGAAGGTAGAAGGGGGGATGGCAGGGGTGGGGTGTGTGGAGGGGTTCAATGGGGGTGGGGGGAACAAAATGGAAAATAAAGGGGACATCTCTAATACAATAATACATATGAATAAATAAATAAAAGGTACGACTAGGAAAAAAACAAATGAACAAAACCAGGGGATTGACACACAGCACAAAGACAATCTCTGTTCGGCAAACACACCAATGATTTATGTAATTGAGCTAATATGACATGAAAGAAAATGAAAATGTATTTAAGATTATAATCTGTAGTGAGCAAAATTCCTTGCATCTGCTGCACTAGATAAGTTGTGTATACATGTAAATTGTCTGTTCTCTTAATACAAAATGAGACCAAAATGTGTCAACGTATTTTTCACAGAACCGAAAATATCCACATGAATGTCTTCTGTCCTGTACAATTACACTTTGGCTGTCCCCTAGTCTCCAAGAATGTCCTTGTCTTTCTCTAACAAGTCTCCTCGTCACTTTTGCCTGGCTTTGCACCCAAGCATGGCAGACAGAGAATCCTAGAGGCCCAAAGTTCTACAGCGGCTGTTTGCAAAGGGGGAGGAGACTGCAGTAACTGCCACAGTGGATACGCTTTATGAGAGAAGGAAAAGGGAAAATATCGGGAAGGCCTCTCACATATGATACGGCAGGATGGCAGGACGCCTACATGGCCCAAGGAACCTGAGGGAGCAAATTATGGGCAGAAGAAGTGCAACCAAAGGCTGGAAGAGGAAAGGTTTGCAGTCAGCTGACTCCTAGCTCTTTGGTCATTGCTTGTAATGGACAGAGTCCATTGGGGCAGCATCAGACACCACAAAGAAGACCCTGCTGCTGGAAGTGGACAGGAAGTAACATCCATGAGTATCAGCATGCAACATCAAAGCTCATCTACAAACAATGCCTACAATGAAGATGAAGAGAAAATGAGAGTGGTAGGAGATGCAAGTACAAAATGGCCTGGCCCAGCCCAACCCAGACAAGGTAGGACTCAAGGAGAAGAAACTACAAGGGAAGAGCCTTGGACTACATCATTCAGCACAAATTGCCCTCAAGAAACTTCATTTTACTGTTCAACCAACTGACAAAAAGGTCTGCTTAATCCCTCTGTTTGCACCTCAAAAGCCACAGTGAATTTACTAATGAGATGGACTGGTATGATTTCAGAACAACTGTAATTGTGCAACCTGGATGTCCCTTTCCATTCTCTCTAAGGATATTAACAATATATACCATGATAAATATGTTATACAATATAATATGGGGAATATAAGTTAACGACTAGCTAATTATATTCATGAATATCTATAACAAACTTTGAGATTATTTTCCTAACATCATAATCTAGGAAAGTGAGTCTAGAACAACTAACTGTCTTGTCCACTGGCACATCTGTCCTGAGAGCTCAGCCATTTAGGTGTTGGTTTAGCTCCCCTACCGCTCCCTCTATCCAATCCTGTCTTCTTGGGAATCTGACCTTCTGATTGGCTCTCTCATCCCTTTAAACTGCCTACTTATGACATCATTCTCCCACCAAACCTACCACCACCTGGTAGAATCTTGGGGTGCCCATGGAGTTGTCTGTAAATAAATTTGGATCATCGCAACTGACCAGTGACCAGTAACTGGTGACCAGTGACCAGTGGCCAGTATGACCAGTGACTTTCGTACTGGACACATGTGCTCTTTGGCTTCAGCCACTGAGATATCTTCATTCCTTGCATCTACAGTTGTTATCTGCTCTTCTTCTCTGACCATGTCAGGTAAGGAAAGAACCTTTTTGAAGTTTTTCATTGGATTGTTATTTGTACCTAAATTGAGTTAGAGTGTCAAAAGAGCATAGAATAATTTGGGGGAAATATGATATAGAAGTCTGCAGACCTAATTTCAGATTTAGACACTTAATAGCTTTGTGACTTTGGACAAGTCATTGGATCTCTCACAAAAAAATGTTTTTTCCTCATCTGCTACATTCAGATGTTAGATTGGTTGTGGACTCTAATCCCTTCCTTTTCTAATATGGAGTTTTAAAGAACACTCCTGTTGACGATGAAATCAAGACTTCTTGACAGTGTTTCAACAGTAATAGAAAGAAAAGCTAAGTCATGTAGAAAACTAGCCATAGGTAAAGCATATATATATGATGTCTTGTGTGTAACGATCTCCAACCACCAAGGTTTCAACTTTAGTATTTTAAATTGAGTGCTGTTCCAAAAGTAATATTTATGTGGTTTTGGAGTTTTCTATCCAAAGTAGGATAACAGAGGAAATAGGGAGAGAGGATGGAGAGTACTGGGCTATAGGAAGGCAAGTATCTCAATGTAA